ATCTCTTTTTGAGTCACTGTATCTGCCTGAAGCTTGAAACTGAAATCTTTCTCATTGGAGCTTCTCTATCGCTTGTATCCACTTATGTCATCAAACTGCATCTCAACCATTTGGTAAAGATCCCCCCCCCCAAATTAAAATGGTTAATTTGTATTGTAAACATATAATCCAAGTAGAACATTTAATTGACTGGAAGTACGATGGTGCACACATCAGCAGTGCAACCTCCTGCTCTGATAAGACAACGCTGATTTAAAGTTCCATTTAGTTTTAATATATCTGTAGCATAAGCCTGTGGTATATTTGCACATGTGCGTTGAGGACTGTCCAGTGGCCAGTGTTGGAAAGCAGATCCCTTGAGGAACTGCAGAGGTGGCAGTGTGCCCGCTGTGCTGTAAGCTAAGCCGTGTTTAGCCAAGCTTGCACTGCTGCTGTTCAGATTGATGATAACGTTGACTTGGGACAGCGCAGCAGAGACTGTACAGAGCAGGGTTAGCTTTCACTCTCCACATCTCCCTACTCCAATAGTCAAAAAGCAATTACAAACTGCAGGGGCCTGATTGAGTCCTGACGTCAGGGACATTCTTTTCTCTATGCTGGGCTTCATTACAAATGGGGTAGTGTTTCTAAAATAGATTATTTTTTAAAACAACAATATTAAGGCACAAATGGACACATGGAGCTGGATTGATAGATATTCATAATTTCATCAATAAATCAAATAAATACATTTATTCTAAAAAAATAAATACAAAATAAATAAATAATTTTTTGATAACATGTGTTTTGCAAATATGTGAATTCACATGAGTGAGTGTGTTTACTCTCCAGTGATACTGATCACTTTAGCCCACATCTTGTTAGTTATTCTCTAGTATTATTTTAAAGGTTTGCAACAGGACACAACTGCTCAGTTAGTTATTATGGATTTACAGAAACACTGTTGAGATAACACACTTATGTTCATCTGAAAACACTTCACTCACAACCAAAGCTCATCGCACGATATATAGATGCTTTGTGTCATGCATAATATATAACCGCTGCATAAAGGAATAAAAGCATCTATTTTTCTCATTTGTGTCGTTGGAAGCTGCTTCTATTTTAGTCTTGTCTCTTGTCCACAACTAACAGTGAATTGTGCAAAAGTTGCTCTGCACATTTGTGGTTGGAGCCATTTCCTATCAGCCTCTGCATCTGTCTGCCATGTGGCCAGATGGAAACATTACACTTCACTTTCAACTCCACTGACAAGAGCACATCTCTGTGCCAACACTAGTGTTACTTATTCAAAGGATGTATCTTCTTGCTTTCTTTACTTTAGCTGCAAACAGAATGATGGGACTTTACTTCATGTTTGAATAATTGTTGGTTCTCGCACTATTAGAATTCAAGAGTGTGATTGACTTGTTTTGTTTGTTTTTTTTACACAAAGCTTAACTCGTCTTCACAATGGGAGTTGGTTTCAACTCTTGCGGAATCTACATGAGATACCTACACTTTTGGTGCAAATATGTGCAAAAATGATATACTGTAAGATATACAGTGGATATACTGTATATATATATAATTGTCCACTCACCTTTGGCCCTCCGCGGGCGGTTATCCCTCTCTAAGCTCGGGTCCTCTACCAGAGGCCTGGGAGCTTGAGGGTTCTGCGCAGTATCTTTGCTGTTCCTAGCACTGCACATTTCTGGACCGAGATGTCCGGGGATCCGCTATAACCACTCTTCTAGCTTCGGAGTCACTGCCCCGAGTGCACCGATCACCATATATATATGACTATATATATATATATATATATAGTCATATATATATGACTATATATATAAGTGGCTGATCTCAAGAAGTCCTACCAATGGCTAGAAAGGGCTGGCCTATAGGACAGCACAGAGGCACTCATCATGGCTGCACAGGAACAGGCACTGAGCACCAGAGAGCGATAGAGGCCCAGATATACCACACCAGAAAAGACCCAAGGTGTCGGTTGTGCAAAGAGGCACCTGAGACGATCCAACACATAACTGCAGGGTGCAAGATGCTGGCAGGGAAGGCCTACATGGAACGCCATAACCAAGTGGCTGGCATAGTGTACAGAAACATCTGTGCAGAGTATGGGCTGGAAACCCCGAGGTCTATGTGGGAAACTCCTCCAAAGGTGGTGGAGAATGAGCGTGCAAAGATCCTGTGGGACTTCCAGATACAGACCGACCGAATGGTAATGGCGAACCAACCTGACATCGTGGTGGTAGACAAAGGGCAGAGGACAGCCGTGGTGGTGGACGTGGCAGTTCCAAGCGATGGTAACATCCGAAAAAAAGAACATGAAAATCTTGAGAAATACCAAGGTCTCAGAGAGGAGCTGGAGAGGGCCTGGAGGGTAAAGGTGACAGTAGTGCCCGTGCTGATCGGTGCACTCGGGGCCCCGAAGCTAGAAGAGTGGTTGCAGCGGATCCCCGGAACAACCTCGGACATCTCGGTCCAGAAATGTGCAGTGCTAGGAACAGCAAAGATACTGCGCAGAACCCTCAAGCTCCCAGGCCTCTTTTTTTAATATATATACTGTATATCTTGTATGTCCTGTATGTGTTTTTACACAGGACCTCTGTTCTGTTCCAGATCTACAGCACTGGCCTCAATGTGGGTGTTTTTTCAGCAACTCAAGCTTTAATTGACTTGCTGTGAAAATGATACATGGTCTAGATGTTAATTAGTTCTTTTTTCAATTCTGGTAGCATTCAGTAATGTGATATTGTTTGATCTGATTCAAGGCAGCTTGCATAAGGTCTTGCCAGGGATGACCCACTGATATGGCTGATATGATATTTCCATAGAAATCATTGATTTCAAAAGATGAATGCTTCACAATTGTTTCCTTCACATCCACAAGCATTTCATTAAGTCGTGCAGTACAGTTACTGAAATAATGATCCAGGCTGAGCATCCCGGATCCCACCGGCCGGGTACAAGCAGGATACACTTAACTGTTTAAGGTGCTAAGTCCCTTTTTGCTGGCACTCCTCTGGGTAAGCCTATCCTAGGCAATCACTTATCAGTGGTGGTGACAGATCGTGGCTGTGTCACAGACAGTAATGGGAGAAGAGCTGTCAGCCGCCCCACTGTTCGTGTGCGCTAAGTGGCAATAGAACCCACAGTCCTATCAACACCCAAACCCTCCCTCTCTCCCAGCCGGCCGGCAGACACAGCGTGTGCAAGTGCACTCAGATGCCCATGAGAATGATTTATGTGTTATATGTGATATTTAAAAGCAACAAGGACATAAAAGGACATAATTTAGAGCTGAAAAATAAGGTATCTTTATATCTCGGCCCTACTTTTTATTTGTCGTTCTTTTATTCAGATCGTTCACTGCCTGCTGATTAGAATATTATGAGCTATTAAGGAGGAAACATCCAGCTATATTTAAGTGAATACATTCATGAATAATTCACTCTGCTCTAGAACAGACACGTAATTTGTACATTAATAATGTTGGGGTCTCACAGAGTTTAAACCAGAGCTTCAAGTAAAACCATATACTGACAGTGCGGTGTATCCCTTACAACAATATGTTTGTGCTATTATCTTTTTACTAAGACAAAGCAAGTTATTTTGGGTGCTCCCATCCTTTGACCATCCTTGTGTAACATGGCCCTCTGTCTGAGGCCGTGGTAACCATAGCAGACTTTGGAAAGTGAAATGTGACACTGTGGACCTCTGGGCTGTGTTTCTGAATCACAACCCCATAATGAGCTAGCAGAGCTCAGGCAGCATCAAAGATGCAGCACTGCGTATCTGTTTCAGTCCTCAGTGTACAAGAGCGGAGTGTCAGCTGTACAGAGTAGAGGAGGTGATGGCTCTGAGAGAGAGGACCCAAAGCGTTCAATTGAACTGCAGTGCACTCATGCATGATACAGCCCCCTGGACACTGGAGCTGAACAACAACATAAACAACAACATAAACAACATAAACAACACTCTATGACTCTATGCAGCTCTCACTTTATTATCATAGTTTTTATTGTACTATTGTAACTATAGTTATAAGGATGATGTTATTTATTTGAACTCTCTTTGGTAATGGAAGACAATTACGTGACATGACATGACTTTTTTGCTTGTTTTATTGATGTACTTGTCTGGTGGACACTGGGGTAAGTCTTAATCTGAGAGAGAAGAATCCCGCACACCGTCTTACTTGCAAATAAAAAATATTTATTTAGGGAGCTGCGACGTTTCGGCGTTATGCCTTCATCAAGCAAACATGAGAAGAGCACCAGGAAGTTCTCTTAAATAGGGTGGGGCAGGCACCTAAGGGTGCACAGTCAGCCACACCCACAGAGCCGTGTACAAAAAACATATGAGCCACTAGGTGGAGACATTCAAAGATTACAATCAATACAATATCTATATATATATATATATACATTTGCTAAATACCTATTTATAGTAAATAGTAAATAGAAAAGTTAGAAAAAGCAGAAGAGTTAGAAAAACTGGAGAGGATCTGAATATATAGGGTACGCATAGAGTGACCAGGTAATAATAAAACATCAGTGTACTATATACATTTCACCATATACACATAAATAAACCATGTACAAAGATTACCTATCGAGGACTTGACAAAATCAAACAACATTTCTTATAAAAAGATGCTTAAATTGAAGTCTTCATTCAGGCCTTTTGGGGTTAGGGTCTGAAGTGTGTGGATCCAGTAGGTCTCTCTCTGTCTGAGCAGTCGGTCGTGGTCTCCTCTTAATCTAAAACAAATATTAAAAAGTGGTTCAGCCAGGTGGTCCGATGGACAAATGTTCCCACAGAGACAGTAGATCAGCAAGTTATCATCAGCACATTAGATTTGTTTTGAATAATCCTGCCCCTTCAAAACTGTGTTGCTGTTGAGGGTTTGACGAGGGAGGGATAGTTTAATGCACTTCCAGAAACACTACAAAGTTCTGTTTCCTTGTTTAACTTCTGAGTTGCTTCTGTTGTTTCAGGAACGCCTTGGCTTCGCCCTCACACTCCTGAGAACCATGAGACTCTCTGCCTTTCCTCAGAGGGTGCTTCTCATCGTCCTGGGCCTCCTCCTGCTCCCTCTGTCCTGCAGCTGTATGAAGCCTGTGGAGAGAGGCTCTGGGCCCCATCCCCAGCCACAAGGAAATACTACTGACTCAGGCAAGCGGACTTGTCCTGGCAAGGTGGTGTGTTCCCCGGGCATTCTGCTCCCAATCTGGCTGCCACTCAACCCCTCGCTGGGGGAACAGGCGGCCAGGGCAATCGTTTACTTCATCAGTCTCATGTACATCTTCCTGGGCGTATCTGTTATTGCAGACCGCTTCATGGCTTCAATAGAAGTCATCACCTCTCAGGTATACAGTACACTGACTGTTTGTCAAGCCGTTCCACAGTATAACGTATATGTAACAAATATTCACAGGAAAAGGAGGTGACTATTACGAAACCCAATGGTGAAACTATAGTCACGACTGTGCGTATTTGGAATGAGACCGTGTCAAACCTCACACTGATGGCCCTGGGCTCGTCTGCCCCAGAGATCCTGCTGTCTGTTATTGAGGTAGGACTGAATGTGCTTTAAACATTGTGTGCACACAGAGCATGTTAATGTTGCCTGTTTGTTTCTCAGGTGTGTGGGCACGGCTTCAAAGCTGGAAATCTTGGGCCTGGCACCATAGTGGGCAGTGCAGCCTTTAATATGTTTGTAATCATTGGTATTTGCGTGTGGGTAATCCCAGATGGAGAATCTCGCAAAATTAAACATCTGCGTGTGTTTTTTATTACGTCTTTCTGGAGTATCTTTGCTTATATTTGGCTCTACCTCATTCTGGCTGTCATCTCACCTGGGGTTGTAGAAGTATGTGTGCAATTACATCAAAGTTTATGAAATGTGAAATACTTCACTTTAATCTATTGATCGCGTTGTGTCCTCCAGATCTGGGAGGCCATAGTGACGCTGTGCTACTTCCCTGTATGTGTGATCTTGGCATGGATAGCTGACCGCCGGTTACTTTTTTACAAATACATGAACAAACGTTACCGCGCCGATAAGAGACATGGCATTGTGGTGGAAATGGAGGGAGACCTGGCTCCGAAAGGCATTGATGTGATCATGGATGGAAAGTTCTCTGACTCTTCCAGCCCTGGAAACTCATCCAGTGTGACCGTCTCTGTGCAGACAGGAAATGAATTAAATCAGAACAATGATGAGGTAAATGTATAACTTGGACTTTTTAACACTTAAATGAAACTAAGGGTGCCTCACACTATGCTGGGTCCATACACGTCCCGTCTCTAAAGCACCATTCACCAGTGAAAGCACAATTGAGCCGTACATAGGCTCACATATCTGTATGTAGTAAATTACTTTTTTTCATAATGATATTACTTGATATTTTATGTATTATAGTGCTAGAGCATGGCCCGGTACAAAAGCCCTGGTGTGAGTGTGGCCTATACTGCGAATACTATTTGTAATATAACAACTTTTAGTGCTGCTGCGTTACAAAGACCACTGGGGCTAGATTACCTTTAGTAGTGTAACGCCTTACTTTGAAAATGCTCGTGAGATGTTTTCATACTGCAGACCTGGTTTTTAAGCGCATGACCAAATTTCTTGTTGACACTAGAGTCACAATATGAAAGCCCGGCGAGTTGTTTGGACCCGTGTCTGCTTTCTACCATTTGGAAGACAAGAATGTGCCAAAATAAAAGGGTCAAAACAAACCACTTTCAGTTGTTAAAGTGAGCACCCAGGATCAGAGAAAATCACACTATAATGGACTAAGTTTATCACCCACATGAGGCAAGCACTTTTAAATATCATTCAACTTTGACGGTTTGTTACACTATCGTCATGCAAAGCTTTGTACCTCGTCCCTCGTAACTTGTGTGTAGTTTCCATCTTCACCTGAACCACTTTAGCTGCAAATAGTTCAGTGTATCACAAAGATATATTTCTATTTTAATGAACATTTAGAATTTGCTTGACAAAGAAACAAAAGCAGACAAGACTTCTGATTTTGAGAAGTTTTTGATGTCAGTTGTATGTCTATTAAGCCATAACTTGTGTGTTTTGTGGCTATGTAAAATTCTATTTTGGAACATGACACATATATGATTAATTTGCATTATACATGTGCAGTGTGCATAGAGCACTGATGTAATACTGAGTGGTCAGCGAGATTTGTGCAGCACATACAGACACACGTAGACTACAGTAATTCCAAAGTCATGAAACTCAGTTACTTTCTCAAGGCTAAGTAGTGATAATTATGTTTTCAAATGATCGCACACTGACAAGAAAACAATGATTATGTATATGCACTTATCATGACTATGATTCTTTTTGGCAGCTAGTTAAAATGTTGAAGGACTTGAAGGAGAAGTATCCAGACAAAGACATCGACCAGTTAATTGAAATGGCCAACTACTCCACCCTGGTTCATCAGAGAAAGAGCAGAGCCTTCTATCGTATCCAGGCCACCCGCCTGATGATCGGAGCTGGGAACATCTTGAGGAAACATGCAGCGGAGCATGCCCGCCGCACTGCTGCAGCTGCAGGGGATGACTTGGCCACATGCTCACACGTATGTTTTGAACGTGCCCAGTATCAGTGCCCGGAAAACTGTGGACACCTGAGTCTGTGGGTCATTTTGGTGGGAGGCACTGGGCAGAACACGTTCCTCGTGGATTATTGTTCTGAAAATGGCTCTGCAAACGCTGGGACCGACTATGAGTTTACTGAAGGCACGCTTATGTTTAAACCGGGTGAGAATCGTAAAGAGATCAAGGTGAGAATGCTCCACCATTATCATTATTGTGGATTATAAAAGGAGTTCACTTATCATGATGCTCCATCAGGTGGGAATACTGGATGATGACATCTTTGAGGAGGACGAACACTTCTTTGTGCGTCTGAAGAACCTGCGGCTGGATGACAGTGGCTCGGAGGGCTTAGGAACTCCTCCTAAGGGTCGCCTGGTGGAGCCTCACACTACAACCATCACTATATTAGATGATGACCATGCTGGTATCTTCAGCTTTGGCCAGCAGGTGCTGCGCGTCAGTGAGAGCACTGGAATCCTCACGGTGACTGTAACAAGACACTCGGGCTGCAGGGGCACCGTGTCTGTGCCCTTCCACACAGAGGATGGCAGTGCTAAGGCTGGGGTGGACTATGAGGAGACCAAAGGGGAGCTGGAGTTCCCTAATGAACAGACCAGGTGAGATCTATTCAGAAAACCATATTTTAAAAAACAGTCACATTTTGCATTTCTTATTTGTTATTTAGAATGATCTAAAACATTATTGGATCTGTATGGGGAGTACAATAAGGGGACATTCTGGCCTCACTTGAATATGTTAGTGCTTTTTGTCCACAGATGAATTAGCTGCTGACTTGATAATCCCCCTTTGTGATCAGGTGTGGGAACCACTGGCCCACACGGATGTTGCCAGCTCCTTTTACCATTAACATTTCAGCTGGTATAAAGTGTGTGTGCACATGGACTAATAGTGCACTTAAGGAAATGCCCAGTTATGCAACAAAAACAACTTTGTTACTGTTTGTATAAAAGAAAAACTTCCATAATTGGCTTAAAAATCAAATATGGGATTGCATCATTTATATTTAATTCACAATAGACATTGTACCCTCATACAGTATTCACTTCAACTCATTTAAATCAGATGAGGTGCAACTCTGAATGACTTCTGTGCTGTTGTTTTTGATTAGGTATTTTATTATTTTATTGTTGCTTCTTAAAGACCTTTTCCTTCTTTTATGCCTTCAGTCAGACACTCCAGGTGCACATAATAAACATGTCAGAGTATGAGAAGCAGGAACACTTTTTCATTGTGTTGGAGGAACCCAAATGGCTGAAACGAGGATTTTCTGGTGAGTTTCAATTGTAATATATGTTTACTTTTAGATATCATAATGTGTCATAGGTAGCATTCTCATTATAACGTACAAGTGTCAGTCTCATCAGCACACACCTCCTGCCCACGTCATATACAGTATCAAGTATCACAACAATACATCTAGCGTAACAGGCGCCGCACACTCCCTCTGGTGGCTGTATTACATTATTACTTAAAGAATTAAAATAGAAAAGAACATTAACATTAGAATATAGTTGTGAATATCTATATATATCTAATAAATACAGTGTATTAGAAAACATATATGTGTAACATAAATGTACCGTACAACACTATGAACATACAGGGAAAAAACATATATTTACTTACACTTTCTTTATCATATACACCTAAACGAGTATAACATTTCTTCATTTTCATACAATTCTTAAAATGTAATGACAGAAATCAATTGGAAATTGATTTAATAGATAGATACTTTATTGATCCTTGTAGGAGAAATTCAGGTGTCCAGTAGCATAAAAAAATAAAAAATAAAATGTATCATTCTAAAAAGCTAACAATAGTGATAATCAGCAACAGCCCTTCAGGTCACAGCAACAGAGGTGGAGTAGCCTCTGGGTGGAGCAGGACAGGTCACAGCAGCAGAGGTGGAGTAGCCTCTGGGTGGAGCAGGACTGGTCACAGCAGCAGAGGTGGAGTAGCCTCTGGGTGGAGCAGGACGGGTCACAGCAGCAGAGGTGGAGTAGCCTCTGGGTGGAGCAGGACAGGTCACAGCAGCAGAGGTGGAGTAGCCTCTGGGTGGAGCAGGACAGGTCACAGCAGCAGAGGTGGAGTAGCCTCTGGGTGGAGCAGGACAGGTCACAGCAGCAGAGGTGGAGTAGCCTCTGGGTGGAGCAGGACAGGTCACAGCAGCAGAGGTGGAGTAGCCGCTGGGTGGAGCAGGACGGGTCACAGCCGCTGGGTGGAGCAGGACGGGTCACAAGGTGGAGTAGCCGCTTTGTTCAGACCATTTTCTCTGCTCTAGTCCAAAGAAAAATGCTAAATGCTTCATTAGCATTTTACAAAAAGTTAGCATTCCTCCAGTGGATTTTTTCCTGATCCACTTGGTTCGGACCATGAATCCTCTCCGCTCTGGTCTGGACCAGTGTAAAACCATGAACACTGTATTGCAGCAACATCTCAGGTAGAAAAAAAGCGAGAAATACATTTTTGTAAAGCACAAAACAACAACTGTTTCAGAGCTAATAGGACCTGATGCCGTTTTCCAGCGCAGTAAATGTGTGTTTTTTTACAAGTGTAGGGTATGAAAATTGTAGTGTAGTGCGGCTAGTCTCCAGATCAGAGTCTTGCCGTCCTACACGAGTGGGATCTGAGTTTTATTTTGGGCACCAGCAGAGTTTGAAAACATCTGCACAGATCCAACTAATTTGCCTCGAATCAGTCTCACAATCTGATAGGTTGTAAGTACGAAAATCAGCCAGGGACGTCAACAGACTTAAAACAGGACGCTTAAAGATGATTTGAGTTTAACGTGGGTTTATTGACTACATACGAAAATAGAAGAATATCAACGAAAAGGGTTTTGGTCACATTAACGGAGATGTTATGCATATCATATGAATCACACATTAGCGTGGAACAGTCTTACTTTGAGCAGTTCGTATGGAGGGATGAGGGATGAAGAAAAGGGTGAAGATGAATGGGCAGTCCACGTGTTCCTTTGTTCGAGCAAGAGGGAGACACCAAGCCAGCGGGTCCAGTCCAACTTTGTTCCACGCATACGCACGCTGTCCGGAAAGCGCTGTAGGCGTAGTTGTCCAGAGAGCCGGAAAAGTGGCTGGTGATGGAGCAGTTCGTGGTCTCCGACAGCGGTATCGGGCTGTACTCGCGGAGTGGAGAGGCCTCAGTGGGTTACAGGCGCGCGTCGTAGTAGGAGACACGTACCCGCGGAACACAGAGGTTGTTACAATAATTTCAGGGTTTCCAAGAGGGCGATCTCTGGGTTGTGCGTGGTTTTATTGACTTCCAAAGGAGGCGCGTCCATGACGTCATCCTTGTGCGCCCCCCCTGGACATCCTTCACAACAGACATGTCATAATGGCAAAATGCAGGATTAATACCGACACTCATAACACATGTACAGGCACACAACGCATTTACATTACTGACATTGATACACACGTGTAGGGCACGTAAAGGTTATCAACACAATATCTTAGTTTCGAGTGTCCGTCTCGGGTGTGCTAGTGTCCAGTGTCCACTGGGGGGCGTCAAAACGCCGTGGGTGAGTCGTCAGCTATCCAAAGGCAAGGAATGTCCCCTGGAGTGAGAGCAGACTTTGGTCTCTGATCTCGCCAGGGAAAAGGGGCAAAGATGTTTACCCTGGTGCTCGATTTATTGTTCTGGTTGACAGTTATGGTCTCGGTGACCGATGATGTCCTCTGGCTGACCCGGTCGTTCCTTAGATGTGGCTCAGGAGGGTCATTCTCCGGAGGGCATGTTTACGTATCCTGGTCTGCTGGTCAGCGTCCGACTGGGGGTCCTTTAATTCACCTTACATACCCCCCCCACGGCAGAGATGCACCTTCCAACAAGGTGCATGTCATGTCGGATATGCCGGGCGGGTGTCCTCAGTCGGTCTTCTCGCCTGTTCGGGTGTTAGTGTGTGATTTGTGGTGACATGTCACAACATTCTCGCCTTAATGTGACTCCGTAATTCGCAAGCGCCTAACTGGGGCCAGGCTCGTGGCGGTTGGGTCTCGGGCCTCTGGCTTGGTTTGTTGAGGACGCGTTTTCTCTAAGGCGAGTCCTGGCCCTGCAGGCTAGTTCTAACCGGGATAGCTGAGAGGTCCCTAGGGTCCCGCGAGTGGTCTGTCATGTGGTACATTGCCTGGCTCGTAGGTGGGTCGAGCCTGGGGTCGAAGTGGTCGATGCGTCTGATGTTGTGCTGTGGGTCGGCTGTGGTTGGGTGCGGTCCCGTTGTCTGGTCGGGGTCGCACGCAACTTGGTTGGGTCCGCCATCGACGGACCGTTGGGGCCTGTCCCGATTTGCATTGTTGGGTTCTTTATTTTCCCTTTGTCCTTGATTTTGGTCTTTTCCCGTGAGGATACTTACCAGTTCGGCCACGCTCCTGCGTTCCCTATCGGCCGATGGGCCGCCGTAGTCGGAGGGAGGGGATTGTGACCGAGAGGCATTGTCCCGACTGGTTCCGGCCGTCATAGCGGCCCTGATTCTCGATGCCCGATCAAGATCCATGGTCGCGCCTGGAGTCACGTCCAGTCCCTGCTGGTGGTCTCTACTTACCTGTTGGTGTTGTTCTTTAAGGTTTTCGACGGATTTTCTAGCTTCCGCTAGTTGCCGTTGTAGTTCACCTACCTTGTCTTGAAGCTTTTCTGTCTTAGCTTCGGAGTCGCGTAAGGTTATCCTGGAGACTGCGGCTAGTTGTCCCAGCCACTGGGTCAGGGTCTTACCTTCGAGTTTCTTTGTAATAACCTCGGATGCCAACATGGAGGTGGCATCCTGTAAGTCAGAGGGCGAGCCATGTTCAAGCGTGTCATAGGCTCCCGGGGATAACTTTTCGGTAAAGTCACGCAGAAAGTTATCCACCACACCGTGTTCTTCCATCCCGTCGTCGTGTTCGCTCGGGCGTGGCGAGGCGACGCCACCGTTGTCCATATTCGCGTGAGTAAGTGTATGCGAGTGTGACTTGGAGCGTGTGTGCATTACACGGTGAGAGAAAGAAAGGAGGGAAGTAGCGTTCAGAATGGGTTATTGAGTTGTTGTACGTGTGGTGGTGCAAACCTTGATGTATGTTAAAGCCGTGACCACTGCGTCGTCTTCCCGCAGTGGTGTATGCGAGAAGGTGGTTTAGGACTGGGGTCAGGCCTTAGTGTTTCTTCACCTGCGTATCAGCGGAGAGGGTTGGGGTTAGCAGCGTTGGAGCGCGCAGGATTGTGGTTACGCGCGCGGTAATATTGTCGGGCGCTCGCGTAGCGGCAGTGTTAGTAGTAGCACTAGCGGTAGCAGCAGTGTCCGAAGCAGTACTAGCGGTAGCAATTAGCAGTTAGCAGTAGCGGTAGTAAGTAGGGACGCAGCGTCGGCACGCAGCGTCGGCACGCAACGTCGGCACGCAGCGTCGGCACGCAGCGTCGGCACGCAGCGTCGGCACGCAGCGTCGGCACGCAGCGTCGCAGCGTTAGTACGCAGCGTTTAGTACACAGCGTTAGCAGTAGTAAGTAGCAAGGAGAAACAGGAGGTTAGCACCAGGCTGAACAACAAAGGTAATGCAGTTTTAGTGATAGCATTTAGTGAGGAGAGGCAGGGAGTTAGCGTTAGCTTAAACACCACGTAGTGCAGTCTAGCTGCAGCATGTAGCGGAGAGGAACAGGGAGCCAGCAGTAGCTCAAACAATCTCAGACATGCAGTACAGCTAAAACATGCAGCAGAGAGGAGCAGGGAGCTAGCATTAGTCTAAACAACAACACATAGAGTTCAGCAGTAGAATGTGGTTTAGAATCGGCGTAAACCAGAATAGCTTGAAAGTATAGGAGAGTAGTTTTAATGTCAGAACCACGACCAATCAGTTGATAATGGGACGTGGTGCAGAATCAGTGTAAAGGCAGCAGCAGTGCAGCCCCGGAAGTAGCGCACCGGGACCGGAAATTAGTTCTATGCTAAGCAATAAAGTCAAGTAGCACAACACATAGTATGTAGTATGCCGGTAGCATGCAGAAACAGGAGACTAGCAGTAGTCTAAACAACGAAAGTATCGCAGCGAGCTATACGAATCGCACAAGCACGTATCTGCAATGGTGGGGGTAGTGTTTGGCTGTATTGTGCAGTAGAGCTGTGGTGTGTGTGTGTGTGTGTGTGTGTAAAGCAGCCTGTGTCAGCAGGCGGAGAGAGGGAGAGGAGTGAGAGACAGGGTTAACGGAGGTCACCAGCAGAATAGTGGCATCTCATTCAAACAGCTGCCATCCGTAACATTTATACATATATATATTTTGATT